GTGGAGGAGAAGAGCAGTCGGTAGAGGAGGAGGAGGAGAAGGAAGAAAAGAAGGAGAAGGAGGAGGAGGAGGAGAGGAGGAGGAGGAAGAAAAGGAAGAGGAGGAGGAGGAGGAAGGGAGGTGGAGGTAGAGGAGGGAGAGAAGGAGGAGAAGGAGAGGAGGAAAAGAGAAGCAGAAGCAGAAGAGGAGGTAGAGGAGGAGGAGGAGGAGAAGGAGGAGAAGGAGGAGAAGGAGGAGAAGGAGAAGGAGAGTGATTTTACATGCTTATTGTTCTCTCACCTTAAAATAACATGAGATTCCCCCCCCAAAAAAGGCAAACTTCATCATGCAGAGTATATTCGTTATATCCTTACTGGCAAAATGGATCACATTCCTTCAATAACACAAACCATTTAGAAAGGGGTTTTCCCAGGGGTGGGATTCAACCGGTGTTACTACCGGTTCAGTGAGAGTGCGTCTTAGCTTTAAAAAAATTAGCTTAATCCATCTTAGCTTAAAAAAAATCAGACAGATATGAGATTTCAAATCTTGTAAGAGGGGAAAAAATGGTACATACCTGGGAATCAGTCATTTGGTAGAGATCTTTGTAGCCCATGTAGACTTGGAAAGAATTGATACCTATTGAGATTTTAAAAAAGTGAATGTCAACTCAAAACATTTTGTATACACGTTTTATAGTTGACAACAGAAAGAAGGAGGGGGAGTTTCAAAGAGCAGGCGGCAGTGTGGAATTGAAAGTACATTCCATTCATATTTTCTTCAAAGACCGATTTAATGACTGAAGCTTCTGCCACGCAAAAATCTAATTGAAGAGCGTGATTGATGACTCTTGGCTATGGACGTGTTTCATTGGATGATACACCCAGAGAGGTGGGGGGGAAAAACAGGATCAAGGGTGACTGTGAATTACGTATCTTAGGAGTTGGCTACACCTAGGTAAATGCCGGACGTAGAATGTTACCTTCAAATCTTTTTTAGTTTTGGGAGTGTGGCTCGAGGCTCATGATTTAATTGGAGTAACTGCTAGAATCCTGACAATGAATTTATTCACACACAATTCAGACTGTTCTCAACTTACGACCACCGTAGAGCCCCCAAATCTCGGTTGCTAAGTGAAACATTTCTAAAAGTGAGTTTGGTCCCCTTCTGACCACCTTTCTTGCCAATAATTGTTAAATGAATCGCTGCAGTTGCTCAGTTAGTGACACGGTCATTAAGTGGCTTCCCCGTGGACTTTGCTGTATAAATAAGAACCGATCGCCAAGAGTTCTGAATTCTGAGTTCTGAAGGGGATTAGAACTAACTGGTGCCATAAACACATATTTCAACTAACAATACACGGAGAGCCTGTTTTATTTTGGGATTGATAAACTATGAATTCACTTCCTACCTACGTAATAGGGATAAGCTAATTTTCTGTTTTGGCCTAGAGGTAGAGCTGTCGCCTCACAATCAGGAGACTATGAGTTCAATCCTAGGTAGAGGCAGATATTTCTCTCTCTGGGCAGAATGAGAATATATCTGCCAAACAAAACTCCGTACTGGTGACAGGAAGGGCATCCGGCCAGTAAACACTCAGCTCCGTTCAGTTGTCCAGACTCCACACCGCAAGGGATTATGGGGTCGTTAAAAGAGGACGGATGATATGTCCAAACGCTGAAGGGTGTAGTGAGCACACTCACAAAATGCTCTCCCCCAAAAGCTCTTACTACAAACCTTTGCTTTGCACCAGATTTTCGAGATCTTCCTGGATCCCATCATACCAGTCGGTGATGTCCACATGCAGAGAATAATCACAACAGGATTTGCTCTCCGCTGACTCTTTCCACTTTCCAAACGCTGTTAATAAATTGGAGCCGGGCTCTGGAAGGATGTGATCAACTGTGAGAGAAAGAGAAAGAGAGAGGGAGAGAGAAGGAGGGAGAGAGACAGAGAAAGAGAGAGGGAGAGAGAGGGGGAGAGAAAGGGGGAGGGAGAAAGAGAGCAAGAGAGAGAGGGAGGGAGAAAGAGAGAGAAAGAGAGAGAGAGAGAAAGAGAGAGGGAGAGAGAGAGGCGTGAGCTAGTCGGCCTCCTGCACCACAGCAGGGGGGAGCATTTTTCACTGTCCCTGGGCTCTGGGGGCTTTCCTTGAGCCTCTAGGAGGGCGAAAGCAGCCTCCCCTGGGCTCCAGAGGCCCTCCGGATGCCGGAAACAGGCCCATTTCCAGCCTTCCAGAACCTCCAGGAGGCCCATTTTTGGCCCTCCGTCAGCTTCCGCACAGGCCCTGTACTTACCTGGCATTCAAAACAGGCCACATGGGGACCCCTGGGAGGGGCGGGACAGGGTGGGCAGGGCCAGCCAGGGGTGGGATTTACCGGTTCACCGAACTGTGCAGAATCCTGGACTCCGAAGGCTTTTTTCGAACCTCCGGGAGGGCGAAAATGGCCTCCCCCAAGCTCCGGAGGCCCTCCGGAGGCCGGAAACGGTCCCGTTTCCAACCTTCTGGGCCTCCGGGATGCCTGTTTTTTGCCCTCCCGAAGCCTCCGCATGGCCCTGCACTTACCTGCATCCAAAACGGGCCACGTGGGGACTCCTGGGAGGGGCATGGCAGGATGGGCGGGACCAGCCAGGGGTGGGATTTACCGGTTCGCCAAACTACGCAGAAGCTTAGTTAGAGGATCGCCCGAACCTGTATGAACCCATAGCAGCTCAGCCCTGCCCAGGACCTCAAACCCATGTATTTCCTGTTCATCAGTAAACCATCTTTCCAATCAGCCTCCGTCTTTCCAGTGTATTTCTCCCCGCTTGGAACTGAACCCAGATGGATATTTCTTCCAACAAATGGAGGGAAAACCAACAACGACAACAACCAGAAAGTCTTTTGGAAAAGCACCAGGGGCGGGATTCAATTTTTTTTAACAACCGGTTCTGTGGGCATGGCTTAGGTGGTGGGCGTGGCTTGGTGGTCATGTGACTGGGTGGACATGGCTTGGTGGTCATGTTATTGGCTGGGTGTGGCCAATTCAATATCACTCACATCGAGGCACGCATCTCCTCACCTGGCCTCTCATGACTGTGGGGATGCTGCAACAGTTGTAAGTGTGAAAAATGGTCATAAGTCACTTTTTCAGGGCCATTGTAACTTTGAATGGTCACTCCACACAAGCAAAGTATCAGCAAAGGAAGGGGAAAAAAACTCCAGAGAAGTTTCTGAGACAGGAAGTCTAGTCCTGCCAAGAATGTAATAAGGGTTAATGGAGAGGCAGTTTCTGTAAGCAACACCAGAATGTTTCCTTCCTTCCTTCCTTACAGGATTAGGCCAGTAATTTCTTCTAACAACCGGTTCCCTGAACTGCGTAGAATGTTAACAACCAGTTCTAGCGAATACCGTATATGCTGGCGTATAAGACGACCCGGCATATAAGACGACCCCCCAACATTTCCACTCAAAATATAGTTTGTTATATACTCGCCCCCTCTTCCGCACGCCTTCCACTTTTGCACTTTTTTTTTTTTTGAGGCACTTTTGTGCACTGTGGAAACGAATCCCGTGAAGCCGAAAGGAGCAGCCAGCCTTCTCCCAGCTCCCAAGGAAACGAGGCTCGCACCGCCCGGGCTCCGCTGAGGTATCCGGCTGGGGCTGTCAGGAGTTGTTACCGCTGGCGCGGCTCCGCGCGGCTCCAGTCCCGGGTTGCCTCGGGAAGGGAAAGGCAAAAAGGAAGAGCCGCGG